GTGGTGCTTCTTCCTAGAGCACCATTTTGCTGGAACTCCTATATTATAGTTTTATTGACTATGTAGGCCATGTTAGAGTCTGTTTAGGTTATGGTCATTTAGCACATAGGTTTCACTAGGTATGATCATCTTGCTAGCTCATGTTTTCAGGCTTTGTGCTAACTATGAACCTTTCCCAGATCCTATATATTTGATTTGCCACACATTTGTTATGGATTTGATGGTTAAGCTTGAAATATCAATAAAAAATAAGAATTGAAGTTATAGCCTGAAAAAATTGTTCATTTAGGATTTTTAAATGCAGAGAGACTATATCAATTGTTGATATTTACCTGGAAGATGGGTAGAACTATGCATAGTGGAAATAACCAGCTAAAACATAAATCAAATGAACAAATGATCTATGAATAGTTGAAATAAATAAAACTAAAACTTTAATGGTGCTTCCTGGCAAATAAAATTTAATTCTGAATCACTCCTCAAAACCACTGCATACGAAACCCCACCGTTTCACTTTTTATAGGGTCCAATGTGATATTTAAATTGGTTAAAATTACTGATACAAATATATGCATACTTTGTTCTTTACAATATGAGCAGGAAATATTGAAATGTTAACGGAAATGCAAATTAATGAACCAGTAACTGAAAGTGTTTATGAGTGTTCTGCATTTTTGTAATTTTTCCTCCTGTTGGTCCACAGGAACAACAATAAGAGTATCTACTAACCTTTATATGCCACTCTTTACTTGGTAAATCGCTTTTAGATATATTAGTTATTTCATAAATTGTCTGTGCAATCTTATCTGCACTGTTGTCATGACATCAAGTACTTACCATGCCATGGGGGAGGAGGGAGGTTTTTTTTTTTTCATACCAATATATATGATAGGTGAATCAAGGATAGCTATGGGGCCCTGGTGGCACAGTGGTTAAGAGCTCGGCTGCTAACCAAAAGGTCAGCAGTTCAAATCCACCAGCCACTCCTTGGAAACCCTATTGGTTAGTTCTACTCTATCCTATATGGTTGCTATGAGTCAGAATCAACTCGATGGCAACAGGTGTTTTTGTTTGTTTGGTTTTTTTTTTTTTTTTATATGCTGCAGTCAAGGGGATATAAATGTATTGCAGAAATAAAGCAAACACACAAAGCAATATAAAATATTGTTCTTGTCTTCCTCTGTGGTAAAATTCTTAGTAATTCAATCTAATTTTATTGTTGTTTCTAGGGTTATATATAGATTTACCCAATTCACATGGGAATGAATATAAATAACTTGTGTCATTTTATTCATTCGTAGATTAAACAAATGTTTATTGATCACTGATTATATACAGGAAGAGTTCTAGGTACTGAGGATTCAATAGTGAACATATCAGCCAAAATAACTCCCTCCCTTTATGCAACTTTTTATCTAGTTTTAGATACTGTGTTTTCTGTTGGTTTTCAGTGATATGGCCCTGTCTCTTGATATCCTAGTCATTTTTTTTTTTTAAATGAATGTGGGTTGTGATGTATTAAAAAATTAGAGGATGCAGATGATATTCTTCCAGAAAAGGTTCACTCTTTCTTCTGTTACCCATCTCTGGTTTGTTCTACTCTTAGGGCCTATCCCTGCATAGATATGTGTATTCTCCTGGGCCACACCTGGCAGGTTCTGAACTATACAGTCTTCTCAGCACGCTGAGGCTGCCAGACCTCTGCTCTGCCTTTCACACTGTCTGCTTAGTCCTTTAGCCTCTCTCTGGCACAAGCTCAGAGTTTGGTAAATGTCTTGAAGGAAAAAGCAACTGCGTGTCATGCTCTCTTCAGGGTCCCTCCTTTCTCACAAGGACCTTGTTTACTTAAGTCTCCAGTGTTGTCTCTCCAGCCCAGTAAGACTGGCCTCTGCCCAGGCAAAACTAAGACTCTCATCGTCTTGCCTTGAAGCATCCCCAGAGAAAAAGCAGCTAACCTTCCCACAGTTGTCTCCTATTTGGTATCTTGGCCTCTCTAGTCCTCACTGTTTCATCAGCTCTCTTATGTCTGTATACACTTTTTTTGTAATTGTTGTATTTTATATAGCTTTTATAGTTTCCTTTGGCTGGATCACTGGTATGCTAGCTTATCCATCCCACCTCTGTTTTTAAATGCATGTACTGAAATAAAAGACTGAAGCTTTCTCTTATAGGCATCTATACAATCATATGGAATGTACTCTGACATTTCCACTGTACCCTTATGTGTTCTATAACTAATTGGGAAAGTGACAAGTAGCACTTTGACAGTGAGCAGATTCTTCAAAATAGGTGTCATTGAAAGAGCTGTACAATTGTCATAGCTAATACTCTGTAGTACCCTGCATTCATTGCTCAGGAACTGTTCAGTGATAGTGGTACTGAAGGGAGTAACACAAGCTGTCCATCAAGTTATCCCAGGGACTTTTAAGTAGGCTGCTTCTTAGATTGATTAGCTGTCGATATGAGTGGGAGTACAACCCTTTAAGGTAGCTCTAGGGAGCTGCAGCTTCTGGATGCTACTTTTGACTTATTATGAATTATCCTCAAAGGAAGTCTTTTTCTTCATTGTCTAGTAAAATACTGGGGGGCAATGTAGAGATTGTGGTTTTTATATCTCTACTAACACTTACAGGCAGAAAATAAAGAATTGTGGTTAATGCCTGACTTTGGGGTCAATCAGATTTAGACTCAGTCCTGTCTATTTACTAGATTCCTTGACCTTGTGCACGTTGCTTAATCTTTCTAAAGCCACACTTCCATATTTGTGAAATAGGGATAATAATACATTTCATTGTGTTGATATGAGAGTTGATGGAGACACTGTTCTTAAAGTGCTAATCATGATCCCTGGCACATTGTAAGCATGAAATACATGGTAGCTATAAACTTTCCCACTATTATGGATGCCCATGGAATTGGAGACCCAGAATTTTGGGGTGAGAACTTGAAGACATTTAAAACCCTGGGCAGGTGAATGAGAATGTGGAGAAAGAGTTGTTTAAAGCATTCAGAAGTTTGCTTTTGTTGCTAAATAAAACTATTTGAATATGTGTTTATTTTACAGCTGACAAACTACCTGAAATAATTTCAGACGAAAACTGAATTGGAGATGGTTTATGTCTCAGTGACTTCATAAATGTGCTTCTTCATAATTTTAGTAGATAAATAACAAAAATATCATTACCTATTTTATGTTGTTTTAAAGTTAATCTAGGAAGAATCAAGTTTAACTAATACTCTAAATTGTACAGGCATCATTATGTATAAGAGAAGCAACAGCATATAAAGTAAAAAAAAAATCTGAGTAAAAAAATCAGAGTTAAAAAAATTAAGAGCGAGAGAGAGAAGCACTATTCATTAGTTATGTGGTGTTGGGTATGTCAGATGATCTATCTGAGATCCAGTTTTCATAGAAGAATTGCAGATGGGAAAAATAATACTTAGGGTTTTCTTGAATATTAAATGAGAAAGTGGAGATGAAAATTTATTAGTAAACAATAAGCCTGGTCTTGTTATTGGCATTTAATGGCCGGTTATACAGCCACAACTGAAATTCTGAATCTCTCTCTGAGCTGTGAAGAATATATATTGGTGTTATAGCAAGCAAACAAGAATTAGCTATGCAAAAAGAAAGTGGTAAAATTAAATCTTCCAGTTATTATTACTTAAGTAATAGTTTAAACCACATATATTTGAATCAAATTTTGCATTGCTTCATTGTGTGGAAATTTTTTCTGAAATCTTGACATTTTTCCAAACAATATTCTGGTATGATATTGTATCTAACGCCTAGTCCCAGTACCTTTTCAATAGTTTTGACTTGACAAAGCTGAAGGTAAGTTAGCTTTTCTCTTTCCTTTCAAGTTACTCTAATTCAGGAAATGTTTCCACTCTGCTCATACTTCAGTGAGCATGAAATGAAGCCTTTGCTGAGTATTTCTGTTTGATTTTCCAAAAGCTGTTGTCAGTCTTACAGCTCAAAAATGAAACACAAGTGGTAATTGGTATAGCCACATCCAGTCTTCAAATCTAATTGGAACTGACCCAGACACCCTCAGAACTCTTCTTAGCCTTACAGATTTATAAGCATATGTGATGAGACAAAAGTGAAAAGCTTGTTGAGAGGGGGGAAAAAGTCCGTTTGCTTGTTGCTGTATCAGAAGGCTTTGACTGTATGGCTGTCTAAGTCCAGACAATGTCTTGTGTGTTTTTTTCCACAGAGTATATATCATTACAGACTATATGGGCATCCGAAATGAAAGTTTCATGAAATTAGCTGCAGTAGGGACCTGGATGGGGGACTTTGTCACAGCTTGGATGGTAAGAAAATTTTAACTTCATCCATTTCAAACAAACATCAGATGCAAGACATGTTCATAATATTGGAGAGACTCTGCTTTTGGTGGCTTAGAGTAAAATAATTAGTGTTCTTTCCAGTGTAACAAATTTATGAGTATAGACAAATCCAGAGATTATATACAGTATCTATGGACCTCCGGAAAAAAATCAATGCAACTAGGATATTAATAATGGTTCTCCACAGGGATATATTTGTTTAATAATATACATATATGTAGTTATAAGTATGCAAGGTCACACAACAATACACATTCAAAAATTAATAGAAAAGTCTTCCCCTTGAAGGTCTGAATAATTCTATGAAGACTATTTTTTGACACGTACAGTTTTCAGGTAAGGAATGTTGTTTAGTCTCTCTCAAAAGACCGTATGAAACTTCTTGAAGGACTTTACAAATAATTTTCTACATTTTTTTTCCTTATTGAACCTACTAACTTAATGGTAACTAAGAGTTCTAACAGCTGCCTGTTTTAATCTCTTTTGGCATCTTTAGTATCTATTATTATAAGCCTGCAAATACATCATATCTTATGCTGAACTCAACTGTCAAAGAAGTAACTTCTGTTTTAATCATTCGTTAATTAAACTGAAATACATTATGTAAAAGACTGTAGGTCCTTTAAATGTGTAAGAGAACCTCGGAGTGACAAGAGCATAATTCTTATAAAGACTGAAAATTCTAACCTTCATTGACAATTTTCCTAAGTGTAGTTAGCCCTAATTAACTTTATCTTTCCATTTGCTTGAAAATGAGGATAAAGTAGTTGAAAGACTTGCCAAAGGAAAGATGATGCCCGACCTAACCATGTCCCTATAGGTGATGTGTCTCGGATACAGAGGGTAGATTGTCACAACACAGTTACTGTCATTTCTATTGCCAGCTTTGCTTCTTATCTAGCACTGGTGTTTTCAGGGAACAGGAAGGAACTATATCTTGACTGCTACTACTGTGATCATCCTGAAAGAGTCTCAAGTAACCATAAAGCAGTTTGTACAGTTTGTCTTCGAGCCTCCTCCTAACCTCGGTTCATTTTTAGAATGTTAACAGAACAAATTACCAGATGTAGCCCATCCCATAAACTTTAAAATCTAAATTGAAAATGATTTATTTTATTTAGAATCACTAGAAATAAGAATTAGACTTGAGCCAGACATTGAAGCCAGGCTGCTTCATGTCATAATTTTCCATTTTCTTTGTGGTGGGGGGTGGGGAGAAAATATTTAGAAGGAAATATATAAACTTTGAAAAATGTACTTCCTTTGAAATTTGAGGTGATGCCTTTGAAGAATTTCTACATTAATTGTAGATTTAGATTTTTTAAAAATAATATTTTATTGTGCTTTCAGTTCCCAGCCCGCAATTACTACACAAGTTGTTCAGTGACATTGGTGACATTCTTCACAATGCGTGAACATTCTCATTATTTCTGTTCTGGTTGTTCCAGTTCCATTAATCTAGTTTCCCTGCCCCCTTACATTCTCTTTTTTGT